ACAGCAGAATATGCCACATACTGACTGAAAAGAATCCAGATAATCTGCTTCAACTAGCGTGCTACCATCATACACCATTCATGATTTTTCCTCCAATCTATGACTACAAGAATTAGTAACTAAATGAACCACCTAATACATTTAAGGTACAAAATAAATTGTAATTGTATCTTTGAAAGCCTGTGAATTGCACTAATTATTGGTCTTCTAGGCAAACTTCTTCTCTGAATTATCAAAACCTCCAGTGATATGCAAATTAGATGCTAAAAGTGTGCTGGATGGAACTGGTCGACCAACATTAGAAGTTGAAGTCTTTTGCCGAGTTAGGGACTGTGAAAAGGTATGAGTTGGGTTGCAGTTAATTCTGTGTTTGTTTATACAATTTTAAGAGTGACCAACTCCACCAGAACTCTATGCAGCTTGTAATTAAACAATTAAAAGGAAAACATATATCAAAGAAAAACAATACAACTGATTGGTAGATAGAATCAAAAAGCAAAGGGGCTGAGCCACCACGTTGGGTAGTTGAGATTCCATGACAGGCATTTGAGAAGCCTAATGGAATGCATTTATCCCTTTAATACCAAGGTTTGGTTTTCTAGACAAAGTAAAAGGACTTTATTTAATTTCTAAATAACAGCTAAAGCTATTCAGATTGTGGTATGGTGATAGGAAAGAATAATCTTAAATCTTTTTTTGCTTCCTGATGTGATTTTCATGGATTTTCTCCACAAGTCATTCATTACAAGGAAAGCTTCTGATCTAGCTTGATTATTAATTGGACAAGAAACGGATATAGCAGGTTAGACTATTACCTCCTGTTCAGTATGGTCTTACCTCCATCTTAACTCTACCACCCCTGTATGGTGGTTGTTTAAAAAAATAAACCATTTAAATGCATTTTGCTGGTATGCGGTCTCTGTGCATGACGTTTTGATTTCCTGTAGCATACAGTTCAATAAGTTTAAGGCCTAGCTGAAATTATCTTTTCTTCTTTTGCAACAGTCCTTTTATATTATTTTATAAAGCCATCTAATATGGTGGAAGAATAACAAAAAATTAGTCAAGTTTTTTATTTGAAAACATATTTCATTCCATCACGTTAGATATGCATTGCTTAGTTCATTGCACATATCAATTAGTTAGAAGGATTAAGATTATCTTGAATTTTTCGTTCACTTCTTGAAAAATGATACTAAGGTAATTAAGGGGAACATTATAAAATATATTCTCAGAGCATTCATGAATCAAAACTTCACATAAAACTCCTGTTTGTGTTAAAAAGAACTATATTAAAACTATATAGAATAAGTACGAGTTGAATAAAAAGCTTTGAACAAAATTCTACTGAAGAATTACAGTCTATGAATTACCTTGGATAAATACTTGAAGCGAGATAAGTTTATGATATTTGTCAGTGGAAGTATCTGGAAAAACCATACATCAATTATAAAAAAAAGCTTTTAGTAGAAAGTAATTTCAATGTCATGTTTACTATGTGAAATTTCAATAATAACCATCTTTAAATATTGTTGCACAGATTATTTGTTCCAGCATGATCTCATGTCATGCTGAAATTCTTGAAAATGCTTCAGCAGAAGCAATTGATGCAGATGAAAAGGAAAGATGCGAATCATTGAATACGGCAATTGAATGGATAAATGAATCCCTGAATGAAATGCTCAGAGGCCTTCAGCCTAGTGACCAACAAAACATTGATGAGTTATTAGGGTAAATGTCTCATATATATTTGTTTGCTATGAATTTTTTTTTTAAATTTTATTTAAAATTCCATTATGTTCTAATTCAGCATTTGCACACAATATACTTACAAACTTGAAGCAGTGTTCTTTAATGGTTATTAGGACATTTTGTTACATAATTCAGTTGACTACTAGTCAATAAATCTTGCTATCATAAGTGCTCATTATCTAAGAAGTTCCATCCAGTAATAGCAATGCTGAATGTATAAAATAGATCAGTGATATAGGTGCCAAGAATAAGAAGGGAGGATGGCAGCATATAAGTGGCTAGATTTTAGGGGCTGCAGTAATGCAAGAGAATACAACCCAATGCCCTCCATGGATTTGGGAATATAACACTATTATCTGTTACTGGACTTGCTAATTGGATCCCATGAGAAATATAGATCAAAACAGTCATACTCTGCCTATATGAATTTTATTTAAAAATTACATAAGTAAAAGCTAAATATGAAAATATATAAAGAAAAGTTAGAAAGAAAGAAAAAAGATAACAGAAAATTTAAAAAGCAATTTAAGTAGAGAAAAAAAAGAAAATTGAACAAGCAACTTCCAATCTTCTCTACAGTAATTATAAACAAACTTATTATCCATCCTCCTTCTTTCATTACAAGGTTCCCTTCTATCCCAGCTGCCAAAAAAGCCAATGCAGTCCTAGGCTGCACTAATAGAGGGATAGAATCAAGATCACGTGAAGTGTTAATACCACATTATGATGCCTTGGTAAGACCACACTTGGAATATTGCATCCAGTTTTGATCGCCATGATATAAAAAAGATGTAGAGACTCTAGAAAGAGTTCAGAGAAGAGCAACCAAGAATGGTTGCAGGAATTGGGTATGTCTAATTTAATTAGAAGAAGGACTAGGGCTGACATGATAGCTCTGTTCCAATGTTTGAGGGGCTGCCACAAAGAAGAGGCAGTCCAGAGCACCTGAAGGCAGGATAAGAAGTACACAATAATTTTTAAAATCTATAGTATCATTAATTTTTTTATACCATAAAAAGCCAAAAACTCAGATTCCTAATTGCTTCCTCCTTCACCAATGAATATTTAAAAAAATGAATACACTATAGGATCCTATATATTTACTGTTCACAAACTGATTATAAAAACACAGTTGTAGATAACTAAAAATATAGAATTATCCCTTTTTATATTGGAACTAGATAAGGTTGCTACAGTTTTGCACTGGTTAATAGACAATATGGCAATAAATTTATTTTTTTACACTCTTAAGAATATATTTAATTAATAGACTGATCTTAACTGTTTTTGCATTTTATAATACTACTGTAAGATTGACGTATGATACAGTTATAAGATATAAATTTAATAAAATCTAAATCTAAATCTATATAGGTGACTAAACAATACAGCTTCCTGGAATGCAAATTGACCAATCCTTATAGTAGTATTTATTTGATTTGTATCCATTCTGGCATATCTTTTCTTTAACTTTCCCCCTTATTTTTACAAGTAATACTAGGCTCAGTTTCTCTTCCATTTAAAATTTAAACAGACCAAGACTTTCCCTAATAATTACAGGTTTTATTATAATAAATACAGGTTAAAATCATCATCAGAGGTGTTGATCTGAGGAATTGTTCAATTACTAGTGATCTTTAAATCAGTTCCCAAATGGAATAATTTTAAATACTGAATTAACTAAATATTTTCTCTGAATGACTTCTACCCAATATGTTCTTTGTCCTCCAAGGGGACAGTTGTGCCAGTCAAAAGCCAGCTGAAGAAAGCTCTGAAGTGGCACAACATAATAATGTTCTCTTCTAATCATGTAGATAGATAGATTTGGGTAGCTGGCATTGCAGTTGCAGAAATATATTTCTTTAAAAAGCTATCCTACACTTTTCCAGTAGCAGTAGTAAAAGGAAATTAATAAGCTAGCTGCCTACATTTTTATGAAATGTACTTTAATAATTGAATGATATATCATTTTCACAACTGTCCTTGAAAGTTCCTCAAGGATGCAGTCCATTGTGTGTTTGCTCAAAAGGGACACTGAATAGAGCAAAGATCCAAGCAGTGTGCACCAGTGAACAAGGAATGTAGGATGTTTTGTCCCAAACATCTGGAAGGTATCAGGTACTAATCATTAGAAAGACTATAATTTCAAAAGAATATGATTTTCAGTACTGAAGCATATGATTATAGAGGCTGTATTATAATGGTGTCTCAAAGCACTGATATCTACCATCCAAATATTAGGGAATTCCAAGAAAAAGAAGGCAACCATATAAGTATGATGGTTTCAAATCATTTTCAGTTCTGAAGTAAAAACCATATTGTTTGGATAGAGATAAAATAGTAACAAAATTATACGTTTTATATGCCTGTTCCAGACAATAATCTGGCATAAACATTTTGGGCCAATTCTCAAGGCCCATTTGATGTACATAAAGAATTTTGGTTCCTCCAACTGGTATATATTCACAAGCAACATCAGGGTAGAAAAGTTTAACTTCCAAAAGGTAACAGACATGCAATAAATGTGTACATACAAAGGTGGAAATATTTATAAAGCTAAAAATTGCAATATTTGTCATTCACAAATTTATTTTATTTTAATTATTTATTTTAGCATTTTGCATGACTTCTTGGCCCTAAGGAAAATGAAACTTAAAACTAATGGCAATACCTTGAATAACACAAATTCAAATTCAGGTTGAAAATAAAAATGGAATATGTTTTTGTGAGTCAGAACCCTTCCAGTGTATGATTTTGTAGAGTTTGTATTTGCAAAATCCAAAGCAGTGATTAATCATGCTATTTCCTTTTATTTATAGTGATTATTTTACAAGGAAATACGAAGAAGACAAAGAAAAAAGGGAACCTGCAAAAGAAAAAGAAAGTCAGGAAGTGATGGCACCTGCTTCTCCATTGGCCACCATACCTCCTGGAAAAAAGAAACCAAACAAAACAGGTTAGAAAATGACATTAGTATACATGAAATGGTCTTGAGCAATCATTTGGTTACTTCTGGTTCTTCGTGATCTGCTGGACACTATTTTTCCTGGTTTGTTTTCTCAGTAACTTATTTCGTTCTGGAAAAGTCCTGCTTGCATCATGAGTAATGTTAACTAGCCATCTTGTCTTGTAGGCCTCTTTTTTTATTCCCTTCATTTTTTTTTTAAGCATCAGGGCCTTTCCATGATTCCTGCCTTTGTATTTTGTGTCCTCAATATTAAAGCTTTAGGTTCATTGTTAGTCTTCCCAGTCAATAGTGTGGTTTTACTGCATCTAGTACAATGATTTCTTCTTTCAGTGCAAGGTATTTTCAGTTGCATTCTTCTGCATCACAATTCAAAAATACAATTTTTCTTTGTTTAATCCTTCTGATGATCCGGTTTTTATATATATGTGCTTATGTGGGGAAAGTATAGCCTTGACAATATTTACCGTTGCTGTCAATGTTATATATCTGTTCTTTTGTATTTTCTTTAGAGCTGTCATAGCTTTTCTACCAAACAGAAGATTTTTTTGTTTTATTTCATAATTAGTCAACATCCCTGTAAATTCCCTGCAAAAGGCAGCAGTTTAGGATCCAGGGATTCAAAAACTGGCCTTTTTCTGTTTTGTGCCTTGTATATTTTGATATATTCATAATTTACTGCAGACACTAGTGAATGCCATATCTGAAGATAAGGAAATAATGTTAGTAAATACAAATTGTTAAAAACTCATTATAAATCTCTGAGAAAATACTTTATTTTTAGAATCTTAATAGTGTCAATGAAAAAGAAAAGATATTGAACATAACAGAAGTTGAATTTAGCATATTATGAAATATTTCATTGATTGTTGAGAATCTATGGAGAATATGTCCTGTTCAGACTTGTTGCTTCATACTATGACAATTCATTTATAATTTTCATTAGATAAGCTTTTTGATCATAAAGAGGATCAAATTTATGGTATGCCTCAAATTAATGTATCAAGTACATCTCAGTGTTCTTGAGCATGTTTATATTCTTGCTTAGAGAAGCAGTTAAATGTTTGGATCAAAAGTCAGATTTTCCATAACACCCACACCCATAACTTGTCAGATTTTCAAACGATGCAGGCTTTTCTTTAACATTTGAGGACATAAATGTCACAGTGGGAAATGATGGTTGCTATGTTCTGTGCTACAAAATTCAGCTATTGTTAAAGTACCTAAATGGGAGCTACATAATTTTCCAAATGTACCTTGGATTCTGATTTTTTAAACATAAATATTATTTTGAAAATCTGGATGAGGTTAAAAAAATGAACATGATGAAAAAGTTAGTAAAGAGAAAATAATAGAACATTTTTGTCTGAGAAATAAAACTTCAGCAAAGAGTTTGTAATATCTGCCATTGCATGTAAGAAAAGAGTCTTTAAGCTGCTATAAAATTAACGTTAGAAAGCTGGCTGGATAAATAGGAATAAGTTTAAAATGCACTTAGAATTATTTTTCTTCAAATTCCTATTTCTGGATCAGTGTCTGTGATTCCAAATGAATTGTAGATTAAGGAACCTGAAGATTTCTTTCTACATTTTTTGACTTCAGTGCAAAAACTACCATTTTATTTATTGTGGTCTTGTTAACATTAAGCAGAAGCTGACTACATCCTTTTTTTCCCTGTGTTTTTAGGCAAAAAAATGTCTGTGATAGAAAAGCCAATAGTCCCAGCAGAGCTCCCTGAACCTGTACTTATGGGCAGTTTGGCTATTGGATGTACATCACTTGCTATTGCAAAGAGTGCTGCAACTGTTCGTGACATACCTTTGTACTTATATATTACTTTGCTGAAACATGATCAGGTACTTCTCAGGATTTACCTTGTTCTGCAGATTCAGAATGCTCAGTTGAAATGGGAACAAGAGAAATGATTGCCATATACACAAAGCCAAGTCTCATGATATGTATAGTGAAACTGCTTAATCAATTGTAGCACACTAGACAATATAGCAGATGTGATCAGCTCCAGTTTGCTAAATGTTTTCAGTTTGATGCATGCTGCATCTACATTTGTGGTCAGAGGAAACTTCTTTTTAAAAAGTAAGGGATCAAGCAGATCGCTTACTTTATAAAAGTAAAACATGGTGGCCTGGTCAAGAAGATGATCCTGTCCCTGTAATGACTTTCTTTATATGAGGTATAATTAAATGGGATTTACTGCCACCAGTTTAGATGATTTAATATAGTCTGGATAGCTGGTTGTTACCTACAGGCAATGATAGCAGTTGATCTTATGTAGGGTTCAGAATTAAACTTTTAGACATGGTTAATATAGTAAAGATGGTAGAGGACAGGAAGACCTGGAGGAACGTTGTCCATGGGGTCACGATGGGTCGGACACAACTTTGCAATTAACAACAACAACAACAAATATAGTGAAAGTGCCAAAATTGTTGGCAAGTCAAAAAAATAATCTGGGAAGATGGCTTGGCAAAACTAATTTTGTGAAGGAAGGTAAAGTTTTCCTAGATTTCAGGTTCCCAGCATGAGCCTGAAAGCTAGGAAGAATAAATATTTGGTCCTGGTGACTGACTCAGATTGGAACCTGCAAAACCAGATTGTTTATTGCTGGGACAATTACATTCCTGTGACACAGAACACTAGGCCAGATGGATCTGGAATGAGCAAGGTGAATTTTCTTATATTGTGTTATTATGGTATTTAAGCCTTTTCATGATTGATATGTGTTAGAAGAGACAAGAGTAATACCTATCATGTAGTTGTTCCTATCTCCCATTTCTTGGTTAGTGGCCAGAAGATTGAATTAATCATCAATTAATTCACTGGTCTTAGTTTGATTGAAGCACCAAACTATAGTTTGAATAAACCCATTACAAACCTATACTATAATTAACAGGTTCTTTAACCACAGTTTAATTTAAAATCCAGGTTTGAACACCGTATTTTATCTAACCATATTTTGTCTTAGTTTATTGTGCATGCCATTTCTAAATGTCAGTGGGATGAAAAGGACTCATATTCTAATACAAGTATTAATCAGTCTTCGTTTACTCTTGTTCCCTGACTCTCGTGTCAATACATAGGAATATTCCTACATATGAATGATATTGAATTAAGGCAAATCCTAATCCTAGATTTTATGCTGTCCATCTCTGGCATACAGGGAATGACAGAGTGTAATAATGGATCTCTGTATACTGATTTAAATCATATTATTTTTCTGGTAGCTGAAATAGTCTTAATTTAACATTCTGGTCTAAAATTGGATATTTATGATCTTAATGAAATTAAGCTTTATCTTTCTAGCCAGTCATACAGTAGATACAAATTGTACACATACATTTGCAAATACAGTTAACTTTCCTTTGTGATCCAAATAATATACAAGGTAGTTATCGTAAAATATAATATATGATTAAAACCTTGTACATTATTTGGATTATTTATTTTTAGTACAACCAATAACAATTCTTCGTTCTTCCCCATTTAGAAGATGCCAAAAGAACTGGTTATACCACTGCCAATGATAACAGTTTTAAATTGTGGGAAAACATCACCTGGAAAACTGAATGTAATGAAAGAAGTGATGCTGATCCCTCCTGCCTGGTTAACAGTTAAACAAGTACTAAATGCTGTTGTTCTAAGTTGAGAATGATAAATAAAATGTTGAAAATCATTCAAGTACATTGTATTTGCCTTTCAGGATGGAAATGCTGTTTATCTATATCACTGCTATTTATTAAAACTATTGACTTGGAACTAAATTCAAAATCTGTGTATGTGCAAGAAATCTCAGGAAAAAAAACAAAAATACTATTATGTTGATCAGACTATGCAAAATGTCTATCCAGTAAATATATATGCAGCATTTCATCTGCATGATACATTAGATATAGATAGATATAGATACTGTAGATAGATATAGATATACATATAGATATAGATATAGATATAGACATAGACATAGACATAGACATAGACATAGGTATAGATAGTTACAGTAGCCTATCATTTTTCTGGCATTTATTTATTTGGGATTTTCTAGTGCCTCTTATAATGAAGGAAAGTAAGCAAAAACATTAGAAAGATTGAACAGAATTTGCTGTACAATAAAGTTTCACATTCTAAGATGATCAGTGTTAACCTGGCACAGAGGAAGCATTAGTTTCATGAACAATTATTAAAAATGTCTATAGTTACAATGGTTCTAAAATGGATTTGAGAAATAGCTTTGACAAATAAATCTTGATCACCCCAATAACCTTTGAACAAGTTTAAAGAAAAGATATATGATGACACAGTCCTGCATTATGGCTGAAACCACAAGTAAAAGAAATGTGATAGTAGGCTATGCAGAATGTGAGACTACTTAGATATGGTTATCAGTTTTTGATTAATTTCTGCTAAAGGAAAACTTGATTAACATAATGTGTCAATCTATTATGCACCTCAGTAGTGTAAATGTAATTAACTCTATTGTCTTAGTAGAAGTTACATGCTGACACAATTGTTGATTAATTTTGTTCATCTCACGGTGTTATATAATAAGCAAACCTTTAATAAATCTGAAAGCTAATCATATTGAGAGATATAAAATTAAATTAGTCAGCATTAAAGTATAATTAAATCTGTATATCCCTGTACTAAACATGGGTAAGAATTAGTTAAAATGAATGGCAAACAAGAGGTTTTGATTTGTCAGTGAAAACAATGCAGTGTTTGTGTGAGACACACCACTTTGGGAAATGCATTTCACAAACAGAACTCCGTCCAAGGGTGAGGATATTTTTGTAAAAAAAAGAGAGAAGCGCCTTCTCTGATGATCTTAAAGCATGAGCTAGCTGATACAGGAAGATGGTCCTCCTTGACATTATTTGATATAGACTTGTTTATATTTCATTCAAGGCCAAAGCATAATCCATAGAAGAAGAATTCATTGTTTTTCAGTAAAATGGGCTTTAGTGATATCCTCTTAAAACAGAAATATTTCCGAATTCAGTTAGCTTCTAACAAATGCTAGAGCAACATGGATGCCTATTTCGAGAATCTAGTTTTTCTTCTGTCCATGATCCTAGTGCCTTGTTCACCATCCCAACCCATATTTGCTCATTTATGCTTAATGACACTTTAATGAACCTAAATCTATAGGAAATTCCAGGGTGATCCTGAGGAAGGACAAAAGCACCATCAATCACGAGTCCCTTCACTTCCATAAGAGATCTAAGTCCAGGTCACCTTGAATGCCTTTCTTGTCTCCCGCTAATTTCCCTTGACTGTTAGTAGCTCAGATTTTTGTAGAGAGCTTAAGCTTGCAATAAATCTTTATACTCATTTGATCTGTCCGATTCTCCTGATTTCCAGGCACTTGACAAAATCATAATGATGAAAAAAGAGAAAATGTGTCTTGGAACATTACAATGCAAATCCCAGCCTTTTGTACTTTTATCACAATGTCACAATGCACATCCATTTTTCCCCCTTACCACACAATGCTGTTTCCAGGATTAACCTTCCAAGTTCAAGGTTGAATTACTAATTACATAAACCTGTGACTTCTCCACAACTTCCGATGCAATCTGGAGCTAAGAATAAATCTCTTATTAAAGAGCATACTTGTGATTTTATGAAAAAATCAGTCATTTTTAAAGTTGAATTTCCAATGGAAAAAAGCATGTTATGTTTTATTGAGGGAATGTTTTATTATTATGCAGGCCATAACAAGATGTATGGATATTCAGAAACAGATGTTGAAATTGATAGAAAAAATGAATAAAGAGGTAAGTCAACAATAATAAAATCTATTTAGGATATTCAAGAATGAATGCTATTACTTTAATAAATAAATAAATAAATAAATCACAAATGCACATAAATAAATAAATCACAAATGCAAATGCACTAGAATTTGCCTCTGGAGAAGGAATATGCAGGGGTGGAGGGAGAATCCTGGCAGGAGCACCATGGTTTCCCAAGGAGGAGGCAGTACATTTCAAAAAGAATCCCAAATTAAGAGATTGCACAATCCTAAATTGGATGGGGGAGAGATTCGGGGTGATATATTTCACCTTGTTATATCTGTTAAGTTAGAAAATTATAGCTTTAATCTGGCAAAAATTTGTCTACTAGTTGTAAGCAAATAGAAAATTGGACTTGATTGGATTTCACAGTGTCATCTTTGGGCTTAGGTCTAACATGCCCACACTCATAGGAAGGAAAGAAATATCGGGAGGATCGCAAACCTCATTGTCTGTAAAACAAAAATAATTGTAGAGAGACGGGGCAAAAACAATCCAACAAGGAGCTACTGTTTGGGTGAGGAAACAGAAATTCACCTGAGAAATGGGATAGAATGAAGAGATGTGGTTGGTTGCACAAGAACCTTCTTAGCATTTTATTACAAGTTGCTATTTTAAATTAATAGATGTTCATTATTTATAATGCTGAATCAGATAATTGTTGGCAAGGTACAGTTGAATAATGCATTTCTATTTTAGACTCAGTATAGGGTTGTATCATGTACAATATATTCGTTTTACCTACATATTTTACCATGATGACTCTCATGCTACAATGGTTGATAATTTGTTACATGTTTCTGCATAGTATGCTTTCCTAAACACTTTGTTCTTGAAAAATCCTTTGCAACAGTCTGGTTCTGCAATAGATGACAAAAAAGCTGCTTCACGAGATGCAGGGAAAAAGACGCTGGTAAGGAGAAAAATAAAGTCCTAAATTTAAGCATGATGAAAGATTAAGATTAAAATCATATGGGAAAAAGCTTACTAGCCCTCCCTGACATATTGTAATATTCAACTTATTTGCTCTAAGACTGCATCCTTGCAAACGATATGAACAAACATAGTAATTGTCTTCATGTCCAGCCGGTCATAGAAATTGGAAATAATAACTAGGAAGTTACCTGATTGGATTCTTGTAGGTAATGATAAATTATATATACTTGAAATATTACCATAATATTACCATGATTTGACCTATGAAATGACCATACAGAGAAAGAGCCTTAAAGGAGTTTAGAATATCATCCATATAGTTTTGATGGAATGGTTGAAGAATGGCAGGCATTCAGAATTTAGCAGACTATTTTTTGTAAGTTAATTATTGTTATTTATATATTATTTATTCACAGCTTCCTGTTCCTAAAAAAATATCCCATTTAGGTTGTCTAGTAATGGGATACGAAAGTCTAGAACAACCACTAACTTTGATCCAATCAGCATGCACAAATCTTTCCTTGGAATTAGGAACAGATATATACTTGGGGATAAATTGTGCTGCTCATGAACTAATGGATTATGTAAGTTTTATTTTCAATGTTTTCAATAATTTATCATTAGTTTTTCCTCTTTTGGGAGAATGTGTTATGATAGTGGATGTGATGGCATGATAATGGGACAAATGTGTAAAACATATTGTTCATCTAAAATACTAGCGACTTTTGTAAAAGCTCAGTATATATAATTCCGCAATTAGGTTTGAGCTAATTGCGGAATTATGGATAGCTTCATATTTAATATTTTGTCAATATATTACACTCTAGAATAAAGGAAAATATGAAGTAATTTTTGGAACACCCAAATCTGCTGATGAAATGGTGGATATGTATCTAGATCTGGTTAAGAAATTCCCTTCTATTTTAACTTTAATAGATCCATTGAGAAAAGAGGTAAGTTCCTTTTACTAATACACAGATATATTTAAATTTGCATTACTTTTTTAAAACAGCATCTAAAAATGAAACAAACATGTAGGTGATGTTAATGTTTTAGGAATCATGCATTCTAAAGAAAAGAATAAGACATAGATGAAGGAAATTACACTGAGCTTCTTTCTCCAATAGTGTTATTGTGGTCCAGTAACACTGGACTAGTCTTGTTTAAATCTAATTGAAATGGATTTTAGAGGGTTGTAATTAATTTTCATTGATTTAAAAATAATTTAAATGACTTATATATCTAGTTTAGTATTTAGTTTAATGTATATAAGCTCCTCTTACATTGTTTGGTTTAATACCTGCTCTTCTTTGTGAGATTTGAAGGAAACAACAGTAGTTTCATTCTGAATAACTGTTTACTAATGTATGTAAACTGAATTTAAACATCATTTTGTAATCATTTATGCACAGAATTACAGTTGTTAAAGGGCCTTTTTGAATCTTGTTTAGCTGGTATTTTAGGAGGCATAAGCCATAAGATATGTAGGTATTGCTATGCTCATATCTCACATTGACTATGGTAAATATTGTAAGACCTAAGAATGTTACTCATAACTAGGATTTTTTATATCTCCTTATTTTATGATGTGAAATATTTATTAATTTGATTTTTATCTCATTTTATTATTTTATTACTTATTAATATCATTAATACCAAGGTATTATTACTTTATAAGTTTACTCAAGATGGCAAACATACGTAATACTTCCTCTTCCTGTTTTCCCCATAACAGCCCTGTAAGATGGGTTGGGCTAAGAGAGATTGATTGGCACAATGTCTCCCAGCAGGCTTTCATACCTAGGGTGAAACTCCTGGTTTCTAGGTCACCACCTTAACTAATTTTGCTTCTGATCCGTCCCAAAATATTTAATTGTTAGTTAAACTTCCCTAACAGAATTATCTCTGATTCCTTCTTAATATAAACTGCTAAAATCTAGACAAAACTAAGAGGTCTTACTACAATTTGTGGGGGGGGGGGGATGAAATTGTAGAGTAGCTATAATAGTATGTGGGAAAGACCTTGGAAGACGGGGCAAAGAGATGCTGCCAAGTGAATGGTCAAAAAAGGGAGAACGAAGTCCACAGCTGCTTAGTGGGGCTGAGCAAGAGGCTGGATATCAGCCCTTCTGTTAAGGCTTCTAGATAAATTGAAGGGTTTTATTATGCAGCTTCATTCACAGTAGTACTGAATTTACTGATGTTAATGTTAAAAGTGTCTCATTTTTTAGAAAAAAAATTCTGGCAGTACTTTGCCTTCTTGTTTATAGCTAATGCTTGAAACAAATTCCTTATGTGTCCAATCACACTTGGCCAATAAAGTATATTCTATTCTATTCTATTCTATTCTATTCTATTCTACTCTACTCTACTCTACTCTACTCTACTCTACTCTACTCTACTCTACTCTATTCATTATTTGCTATCTTTACAGGACCGTCAACAATGGATCCATCTGTACAATGTTTTGGGTTCTAAATGTTATTTAATTGCAGAAGACTCATGCAGGAATTTGACTAAAGTTCTGAGTTCTAAAAAAAGCAATATGCCAAAATGCAGTGGTCTTGTAATAAAACATATCAATGAAGCTAAAATTTTGGACCTTGTACAAATGACCCAGCGATTAGATGGTGAGGAAAGAACTGTATATCAAAATTCAATAGTAGCTGTAAAAATATAGAGCTTTTTATATTTAGTAAAATATTTAATAATTAAAAATCTTATTCATCAAAATTTGATTTCATTATGGATTGACAATATAATTGGGGGCTCATTTTAAAATATGTAAGTTGAATGTTTAGATATAATTCAGCTTTAAATGGTATAGAAAATTTCATGTATCTCTTGTAGTATTGGTTTGTGTCACATATTTCCCATCATTCTTTATGGACCTCAAAATGTAACAAAGATTTAAAAATGTTAACATTCAGATTTTTATTTATATAAGCTAGAATTGTTCATTTAAAGAAAACAAAAAACCTGTATTCAACAGGAAAACATTCACTACTTTTATTTTGAATATACTTCTAAAGTGATTATCTCTACTGTAACAGTTATGGGGAGTGTGAAAAGCAAGTAATATTTTAGCTTTGCTAGAGTTTATCCACAATCCAATGCAGAATAATTAAATTTAAATAGATGTAAATGTTCAACACTGTTTGGGCTGTGGGCAGATGATTTTGTACACTATAAATAAGTCATAATAAAACAAAACTAGATTGCAATAGAATAAAAAAAATGTTTGCTAAATAAACAAATAATTGTGTATTTCCAGAAGGACAGCTGTGTTAGTTTGCTACAGCAAAACTATGATAAATTTAGTGTCTTTAAGGAATTATCTGTTTAATGAAACTGAAACACTTCTGGACTAGCGTCTATTTTATTAGTCCACAAAATTTAAATTTATAATAAATTACTAACTCTGGAAGATGCCATAAGACTTTCCAGTAATTTTACAATTAAGACAGAGATGTTTTGCAAGCTATAGATGTTTTATGAAATTAAAAGTCCTTGCATTCAATACAGGTTGGAGGCACCTTTCCATCTTAGGAAGTCCAGATGGAGAATCTTCTGATGATAGCCTTGCAGACCTGGTATGTATGGAAAACTCCTCAATTGCCCAAAGCTTTTTATCTTCATCTGCTTCCTAGGAGAAATGTTTATCTAGTGAAGAGACATATAATCTTTGAGGAAATTGGCTTTTTCAAGAAAGATACCTTTTTAAGAGAGGTAATCTTTGAACATTCAAGGGCAAAACAGCAAATAGTAGGCCAAGAGAAGCACACTGCAAATATGTAGTGTCTCTTGCTGACATTTTTAAGGAAAAGTTGAATAAATTATTCAAACATAGGGCAGTAATAGTATTTTCTTGTCTTAATGGATTCCAGTTGATTTCTTTGTATTAAAGTATAATTACATAGAGGATGTCATTTGAAATGATGACTTATTTAAATTAATGTGTCACTTTTCTTTCACCAGTCCTTCATTTATTCTCTTCTGCCTCCTGCAATCTCCCAGATCCCTCCTACTCCCCTTCCTTTCAACAATGTAGTCATCTTGGATTCCTTTACATCTGCTTCAGCTTCCTATCTCTTCTCCTGATTTACTACACCAATGCTGACTACTCTGTTAGAAATACCTGAACTATTTTCTCCCCCAAATTGGGCAGCCTATTAATATCCAGACTGTTAAGTTACAATGGTGCTTTTTTTCTTCCTTTGTTCTGTCTCCACCTGATAGTTGATAACTTCTGCTTATATGTAGGAAACAGGTAAATTATCTATTAGAAGCCAGGTATAATTCTTGCCGCTGTTGTAACATGCAAAGTAAAAGATATGCTTTGTTTATCTGGCATTATACCTAATAAAAAAAGTTCAGGTTTTAAAATCTACGTATTCTCCCAACATCTTTTCTAGCCAAGCATGTATCTTTTTCCAATAACTTTTTGCTTTGGCACATGTCCACCAAACATGGTAATAAGTGCCTGACTTATGTTTGCATTTCCAACATCTATCTGACATGTCACCTCTAGAACTATCTGATTGAGTGTTGTTTTCTTTGTGGATATTCTTTCCTCTCTCATTTATAGAAGGGAGAGAGGGGCCTATTTTAGTTTCCATTTCTGCATTAGCCATCCCATGTCTATCATTATGTGTCCTCCTGAGTCGTTCTGCAATGTTTGTTTGACTGCTGATAAACTTTGCAAAAGACTCTTTCAAGCAGTCAACCTTATTTGTGACAATTGATAAAAGTTCATAGATTGAATTTACGGTTTGAGCTGTGAGCAAACATTGTCTGGAAAGGAGATGTTTCATTCTCCCTTACTACTGTTTGTTACTATCCCATCCTGTGCAGGAAAAGTGGGTGCTGAATTCCAGGGAGGGGAGCTATTTTCTGAGAGAAACAGAAAGTTCTACAGTATATGCTGTTTGCTTTCAAGTTCAGTTTGTAAATCCCATTCCAATGAGTCACATACAGATGAGTTACTTATTGGAGCAGACTGTCTATTTGCAGTGAAATCTTCCATTTTCTGCTGCTTCAGTGGCTTGGAAGAACTCTGCTGCCGAGTGAACACGCTGTCTCTTTCTCCTTTTCCCCATACTTGGTAATCCTGGCTTGTAGAGTTGTTAAAATGTAGGTAAAACAATGGTAAGCCTCTCCAGTATATATCCTTGATAAAAAGTCTTTGATTATTATAAAAAGTCAAACAAGGGTTAAAACAGATTTAAAAATAGGTTCAAAATGGGTTAAAATAGGTTCAAAATGGGTTAAAAGTAGGTTAAAATGCAGTGTTAAAAAGGGTTAAAAAGTTAAAATAAAAAGAAAAGAAAGCTTTTACTTTCAGAGGAGCTCTTTACAGCCTTTGCTGCCTGTCCACCATCTTGGCTCCTCCAATTGATACCCTGATTTTCCATTTCTTGTTTAGATTTTAAATTTTAAACCCTTCAGAATTTAGAATATCTCTGTATGTCCGGATTTTTTCAAAATCAACTAAATTTGGGTGTACAAATGCTTCCATTGTTGAAAGCCAACCTGGAATTTTCAGATATATTTTACATTATATTTTTTCCCATGTTGTTAATAATGCATTTCTTATATAGTGATTTTGAAAGTACTTATGAATTTTATTTTCCCCATACCATAAGAAAACGTGCCATCCCAAATTGTAAATCATGCCCCTCCAAATATAACAACCTTTTGTTTCTAAGAATTATCCATTCTTTTACCCATGTTAATACAGATGCTTGATAATATAAAACCCACTCTAGTAAACCAAAACCTCCATTTTCCTTGGCATCTTGTAACATTTTCATCTTAATTCTAGCTTTCTTTCCTTGCCAAAATATTTCGAATGAATTCAAGCTATGCAAAGAAATATAAACTACCCAGAGAAGTTCATGTAAGATTCATAAAGAAAACAACAAGAAATGAAATACTGAGAAAAGTTAGAGATGAGCCATTACAATACAAGAATAAAGAAATTGTGGTGTTAAAGCAGATCCCCAAGAGAGTAAGAGACACCCGAAGACAATATCACTTCTTAACTAAAAAGCTAATTACAAAAGGTATAAACTTCAGATGGTTAATGCCAGAAGGGAACTGGAATAATACAAGATACCGAATGGACTCACTTTGGAAGGCACAAGACTTTGATGAAAGAAATCAAGCATTTTTAAATGAAGGAGTACAATATCAACAAGAGGAGAGAAAAAGATCAGAAACAAACAGAAGAAGCAACTAAGGAAGCAACTAAACAAACAGAAGAACAGAAAGAGAAACTTGATCAAGAGAGTGAGGGAATAGCCAGAGAACAGACCTAAATATAAGTAATTGAAATGGAGAAAAAAAACGGAATTTTTTCAGTGAATATAAATGGACTGAATTCCCCATCAAAAAGAAATATTTTTTTTAGAAAACTACAGAAATTAAACATAGATATAATTTGTTTGCGAGAGACACATATTAAAAATATTACAAACTGTTGGAATACCCCAAAATTGGGAAACTTTACCATGCATCAGCGCAGCAGAAAAAAAAGAAGTGTAGCCGTAAAGAGACAATAGACTCTAGTCTAAAATGATTTATTCAGATGAAGGAAGAATTGTGATGGTAGAAATATTTCTACATCAAAAACAAACATTGTTGGTAGCAATATATGCACCAAATAATAAACAGGAAGAATTTTATCAAAATCTCCATAGAAAAATAACAGAAATGGAGTATCAAAATATTTGCCTGGTAGGAGGTTTTAACGCAATAGTGGATGGGACCTTAGATTATAAAAGTAGCAAAACAAGAAAAAGTGGAAGAAAAAGATTACCTAAGAATTTTTTTAATACGATAGAGGAAATTAGGGTACAAGATGTCTGGAGGGAAATTAATCCAGGAAAATTACAATATACATTTTATTCAAATAGTCACAAATCCTGGTCCAGAATTGACATGATTTGGATGACATCTGAATTGAGGACAAGTATGCAGGAGATTGAGATAGAACCAGGTATATGGGCAGACCACAACCCCTTAACAATGACATGGAGAGGAATACCCAAAAAATTAAGATGGACTTTGAATCAATCTATATTAAAAGAAAAAGAATTTATAGAATTAGCAACAAAAGAAATTGAGTTTTTCTTTAAAGGAAACAAAAAAGAAGATACAACATTATAAAATGTATGGGATACAGCCAAAGCATATTTTAGAGGTATAGCTATAACATACATGGCGGAAAAAAAATAAACAGAAAAGACAACAATACATATTATTAAGGGAAGAATTTTGAAAATTAGAATAAGAACTGCAAATGAATCCACAAAAGAAGATTCTGAAAAGAGAAATGGAAACAATAAAACATAAATTAAATTTGTTGGATTCAGAAAAATTGGCACAGCAAATAAAAAGAGCAAAACAAAACTTTTTTGAAAATGCAAACAAACCAGGAAGATGGTTAGCTTACAAACTTAAAAAACAGAAGGAGAAGAAACTGATAAATAATGTAATAGATGAAAAAGGCTGTCTACAATTTAAGAACGAAGAAATAAAAAAGATAATTAAAGAATACTATAAGAAACTGTATGATATAGAAGAAATTCCAAGGGAGAAAATAATTCAATATCTGGAAGAAAGTAATCTTCCAAAAATTTCAGAAACTTTTAAAACTATGCTAGTGGAAAAAATAACAATGATGGAAATAACAGAGGCTATAAGAAGACAAAAAAAATATATGAGAAAACACCGGGGCCAGATGGACTACTGGTGGAGCTATATAAATCTTTACACGATATATTAAGTGAACCTTTGAAGGATGTTTGCAAGGAACTTTTGTTGGAGGCTAAACTCCCAAATACATGGACAGAAGCAAATATTACCTTAATACCAAAAGAAGATTCAGACTTGACACAGATAAAAAAATTATAGACCGATATCATTATTAAATGTGGATTTTAAAATTTTTACTTCAATAATAGCAGAGAGACTGAAAAGATTTTTAACTGAATTTATATATTCAGACCAAAATGGTTTTGTACCAAAGAGACAAATTAAAAATAATTTAAGAGTGATAATGGATACATTGGAATATTATGAATTACATCCAGGGAAACAATTGGCATTAATATTTTTAGATGTCCAAAAGGAATTTGATAATGTTTCCTGGCAATTTATGATTCAGCAATTAAAAATAAATATAAATAAATATAAATATGATTAAAACAATATACAATAAACAAACAGCAAAAGTGATTGTGAATGGAGATTATACAGAAAACTTTGAAATAAGAAAATTACAACGCAAGGATGTCTATTATCTCCATTGTTATTTATTTTAACCTTGGAAGTTCTAAACAGAAATGTTAGACAAGATATGGAAATTAAAGGACTAGAAATAAAAGATGAAACATACAAATTACAAGCATTTGCAGATGATTTGGTATTTATTTTAGAAGAATCCTTGGAGATGATTCCTAAACTACTGGGAAAGATAGAACAGTATGGAGAAATAGCAGGACTGAAAATAAACAGAGAAAAAACTAAAGTAATAGTTAAAAATCTTTCAGATAAACAAAAAAAAAAACAAATGTCAAAAAATAGAGCTACAAATAGTTTAAAAGGTTAAATACCTGGGAATAACAGCAAGATGTTCAGTGATAAAAGAAGATAATTATACAAAATTATTGAATCAAATAAGAGTGGATTTGGAAAAATGGAAAAGCTTGCAATTGTCAATATTAGTAAAAATTGCCACAGTCAAAATGAATATATTACCGAAAATTTTATTTCTATTTCAAACAATACCTATAAAACTTGAGAAAAAATTCTTTGAAGATTTAAATTTATTAATTTTGAAATTTACTTGGCAGGTTTTATTTCATTATACTTATCAGATTTACTCTAATGCTGCAATTTAAAAGTTATATGAGTTTGATGATTAAACTGCAGTCACAATTCAACTGAGATTTTTGCTGCTTTAAGAAACAAATACGCATATCTTGTATGGTAATATCTATTTTTAAAAAATCCTTTAATATAATTAAACTGTGAAAGAAAAAACACAAGAATGAAATACACGCACATACATACAGTAGAGAGAGAAAGAGAAAGTAATAGATAAAAATATATGAAAGACATATTTTGAAACAAAACATTGATTACATAGAATAATATTGGTACCTACAGTTACAAATTCAGTTCTTTAATTATGAGCTTTCATGTAGGGTTAAAATATACATGACCGTAATTAAAGCCTCTATTTAGTCATCAAGTTAGCTTAGTATTAATAAACTACCAAAGTTTTCAGCTATGGGGTTTTTAAAAGGAATTTATTTGTCTTAGGCTGTTGGACTGGGAACCAAATTCATCAAACTGGGAGGTCTTTCCCGTGGAGAGAGGATAGTCAAGTACAATCGACTTCTTGCAATAGAGGAAGAATTAAACAAGAATGGAAGGCTTTGTAAGAACCTCTTTCTTACTTTGTTTTCAGTGTTTAATGAATAAGAACCCAAAGATTGGAGAAAGTGACTGAAATCACTCTGTAGGAGGAAAAGGGAATCAAAAGACTGTAAATAAGCAGTTGCAGAAAACAGGATGGCATTTGCCATGAGGTGCATTGTCCTGATGACGAGTTATCTATTTATCTGAATGTTCAAGTAAAATTTCTTGGAGGGAATGGGCCACAACGTTTCTTTCTTCGACATATTTAATTGGTTGAAATCATCACCAAGGGAGAGTGTTTTCTGAACATTCTTACATAGATGAATATTCACATGTTGTGGAGGAAGCTTTAAAATGCGATTCATTGTCTTCCATATAAAGATTCACAGACAATATTATACATAAATTGCATGTATTATGAGAGGTGACACTAGGGAGATAGTAAAAATGGGGATGTGACATAAGCTGCATACAAGAGGTTCAGCCCCTGCAAAATTCAATTAAAACTATTAGCTTGAATTGTCTTAATACACATGCTGCTTCTTTGAAGCCTGTTTTTAATTGACCCACAACAATGGGCTAATGACAAAAATAAAACCAGAACATAGAAAACTGGCTCAAGCCAGACCTGGTAATTTGTTCATAAAAAACAAATTACTGGCTGTGGTTGCAGGGCAGCATTCTCCAATCTGGTGTTGTTTAGATGCACTTGGACGACACATTTCAGTGTGACCAATAACAAGCTAAGTAAGGGTTCTGGGAGCAGCAGTCCCAATGCATTTGCTGTTGAAAAATCATCTTTACAATCTCTGAGAAAAAGCTCCCAGAACCCTCTGGATTTTTGGATTTTTTTCTTCAAAAAGTTTTGCCACTTTTCCATAAAATGTCATTGGAATGATCAGTGCTTGTTTGCAGTGTACAAACCTCTGGGAGTAATTGTTTACTTTGCTTACTTTTTATACATGGCAATATCTACAAAGGATAGGGCAGAACTCTTGTAACTTGCAGATACAAGCAGATAAGCAGACATTTCATTAAACTGTTTCCAAAATTAGAACATGTTTGTGTTTCCCAGGTGTTAATATTAGACTGGATCCCCATGCACATTTGTACTGTACTCAATATTCATATTTTCCTCTTGTAAAAAATGAGCTGAAATTTACATTCCTTGATGAATGGAACAGGAATAGATGCAGATATACAGTCCGTAAATCTTCCATTTACTATTGCAGTCTAGCATAGTGATGGGCGAGAACAACAACAAAAACTTCTGTAATGCGGCATATACCTGATCAGAGATAAAGGAAAAATGATTGATATTTAAAGTTACGCAGAAACTCTTTCTCCCTTAAAATGTGAACATAAATTTAAAACACTCGATGCTCTTTTCACTATATTTGTTATTTGGCTGTGTATTTCTTTGTAGGTGAAAGAGATGAGTATGAATTCATTGACTTTACTGAAGAGGAAGAAGAGGAAGAGGAAGAAGAAGAGGAGGAAGAAGAAGAAAAAATTGATTATACTGATTCTCCTTCAGGGAGTACACAAGCTATAGTCTAGAAATTAATGTTTCAGATTTGACATTGGCTAATTCAAGCTGACCCTGAAATTCTTTTGTGAATGCATTGCATCTTTCCCAAGATAGCAACTGTGATAAAAATGTAAATTTATTTCTCTTATTGTCATTAAAAGTTATTTTATTTTTGGTTTTATTTTGTCAATGACTGAATATTTCCTTCTTTCAATTCTATTTGTTCCTATGCTCAGTTCTGCACAGATAGGAGTGTCTTCTGGTAAAATTTATTTCACTGGGAGAAACTAACAATATATATTATAGAACTGATTATAAAATCAATGATTCATTAAATTCCACTAATACAAGTATTTGTTTGAACAGTAATCAGTCTTGATGTGGGATTATCATAAAATTCTTTATTCCAAATATGTATCATCCTAATAATTGACAATTTTAAAAGACCCAAACATCTTTTAAAAGTAACCATCTGAAATATAAATTGAAACTATTTTTATTAGAATATTAAAATTATATGAACAATTAAGATCAGGAATAATGTTTCTGGGCCAGTACTATGACTACCAACTAGAGGTTTGCAGAATTAGTATAGATTCCTAGTGCAGTATAATGTAATCTATGGTGACTCACCAGTTTTTCTGAATGTCTTGTAAATTTTTATGTGAAGAATGAAAACAAAATGCAACACAATACTCCAGAAACAACAAATCACAATATTTAATCAGGACATTTTTAATAAGCAGCATCAAAAGAATAATATATTTCATACTAATGGTTTGAGAAGAAATGTGCCTTTTTAAAATGTTTGTATTTTCAATCATTCAAAAAATATACAAATTATCATATTACATTCAATATAATTAAACTAATATAAATGCAAAATCAGGAAAAAAACATTTTTCCACATTTACAAATTATCAATTCACCATTCAAATCATAGAGTAGAATTCTTTATTGGTCAAGTGTGATTAGACACACTAGGAATTTGTCTCCAGTGTATAAGCTCTCAATGTACAAACATAAATCGTAGATAAAAAATCATAGTTATAATCATTAATCATATGATGCATTCAGGAAGAAACCCATCTGATTTTCATGGAATTTAACTCCAAATGGAAGTCTACACAAAATGTTATGGTTTCTTTTTTAAGTCAAGCATTAAACACGTACATATCAAGTCAAATTAATAAATTAGATTCAACCTTAGTCCTCACTACCAATCACTGTTTCCTATCAGAAAGTTCTTAACAGTGCACTCAAACCCATATTAAATTACAAACTGCTGAGGTTTCATCACAATTGTCCATTATATTGGAAATGTATAGTTTTAGAAACGTGAATAAACTGTAAAATTGCATTCAAGGTAGCCTGTTGCATATTTATCAGTGTTTGTATTAGAAAAATGAATGATGACCAAATATAGTAAATCAGCTATTTTGTCTATTTCCTGAATTCACTGCATTCCATAGGGTGACATATTCAATGCATCTGCTGAGCTAGAAGAACCCACTGACTACTCTCAGGGATCTTACTAATGGCCAGATAAACATCATTTAGCCAATGCATATTCCATACCCTCCATACCATGCCCTGAAATAGTACCGTAGGTAGAAATTCATGTGGAGGTGTATTACTGATATATTTTAATATTATATTGTAGAAACAGAGCAAGGCACATATACCATACATACATACGCATATACAGACATACAACACATATAAATAACTACACAGGATGTGACAATATGAATTCAATCCCAGGCAAGAGTACTCCGAATTTGGCCATGTACAAGGATTCAAATCAAACATCACTGTCTAAGCCAGCCACTTCAAATAGCATCTCTTATACTGCTGGGAAGTAGTTGACAAAATCAACAAGACATAACTGGCAGTCTGTTTAGGTAAAAAAAGTAACCACAAACACATAAGGAATAAATGCCATGTAATCTTCTTAAGTTATGTCAAAATTGACAAAAATGTCAAGTTTATTTTCTGATTGCTGAAGACCACAAAAACTGTGCATATAGCATTCATATAAAAATCCCGTGGATTTTAGCCTCAGTTCAATACCAATCAAAAAGTACTAATGAATAGAGTACATTATTAAATATGCATTTATAGCTTGTTTTTTCTGCAACTATATATTAGCTTTAGAGCAGGGGTACCCAACCAAGGCAGCTTTAAGACTTGTGGGCTTTAAATCCCAGAGTTCTTCAACCAGCATGAGAACTGAAGTCCACAGGTCTTAAAATTGCCAAGGTTGGACATTCCTGCTCTAGACTGTATAAAAAGCAGGAAAACAAATGTGCAAGAAACTGTATATATTCCCTTCCTCATGCTTGCCTTCCTAGCTGAGCAATCAGAGTCACTCTTTTTCTAATAAGAGGAATATTTCAGCTACTCTGAAATGCCTTATAAATTGCATAGTTCTATGATTCCCACTGCTTTTCTTAGAAGAGGCCTTGTCTGGTGAAAGTTAAGGACTGAATAACTCAAAAACTAACTCTAAATTCTGAAGAGAAGTTTATTATAGAAGATGACTATCTTGCATATAAAAAGCTCTAAAGGTTCCCCAGTTTGATTAAGTGCCTCATCTAATCCCATTTATTCTTTCCCAGTGGGCTAATATAAAACCTAGTTCATAGTTATAAAATTATGATTCAGGATCTCATGCTGTTCTTCAACCCCCACATTTGGTTGCTGTCCCTCTGCTGCCATCTTTCTTGTTTCCTGTATAGAAGTTTCATATTTTGTTTTGTGCTCACATAATCTATTTTAGAGATATGCTTCAATTTCATTCTGCCTATAATGTATAGCCTGAAATCCTACACCAGATTATTTAGAATTAGGATTTATTGAAGTCCGTACCTATTTCTGTAAACCAATAAACAAGATATGTTAATTATTTAAAAGGTGCCATAATGTAAGAATTTACAATGTGTTCAGGTAGAAAGTAGGCACTTTTTAGACACGGCATTTTCTTCTGTCTTTCATACAAGATGTCTCTTTTATGGGGCTCCCTGTTACAACATATTTATATATAAAGATCACCGAACAATGTTTCTTCTTCAGAGTACTGTTCTTCCTAAATGCCTAGATGCATTTATTAAAATGCTTGCAATAATTCTGTGGCTTCTGGAACAGTTCTTCCCTCTTATTTTTTGTATGGTTTAGTAATCCAACAATCCCAGAAAAGACTTCATGTGGGGATATAGGAAGAGTTTAGATACAAACGCTATAAGAGCCAGTTTGATCTAGTGCTTAAGGTACCAGGCTAGAAATAAAAAAAATCTACAAGTTCTAGTCCCTACTTAGGCATGAAAAACTGGCTGGGTCATCTTGGATCAGTCATTCTCTCTCAGCCCAGTGCACCTAATCGGGTTTGCTTTAAGTTACTTGCAAAGTAATAAAGGTGGAATCATAAGATATAAAAAAAATATCTAAGCTCTCTGCCCCAAACTGGCCAAAAAAATAGGATTGTTTTAGAACTGATTACTCATATCCTATTGCTTGCAGAGGAAAAAGGTAATAATAATCACACACCAAATTTAACAACTGTTGATAATAAAGACAAAATAAACTGGATAGTGGATGTGGCAGTACTCGGAGACAGTAGAGTAGAAGAGTAAGAACTGGAGAAGATAACAAAATATAAATACCTGGAAATAGAATATCTGCAGCAAAAAAAGCAAAGGTAGTACCAATTGGGTGCAATCTCATTTGAACATCATTTAAACACCACTGGCATTGACAAAATCACCATCAGTCAAAAGGCAACTTTACTCGGAATAGCTTAAATCCTACAACAATATATTTAACACCATCAAACAACAACATCTCCCTATCCCAGGTCCCTGAGAAGGACTCAATAGGTAGATAAAAATTTCAAATCCAATCTAAACATCTGGTGGACTGTGCAACAAAAAATAATAATTTAATATACTATGTTATATTTATAATAATAAAGGCCTAATAGCGATTTCACATTGTTGTGTATACAATAATAAACCCTTAATTATTAAACAACAACATTTCCTATCCTAGGTCCTTGGGAAGAATTCAATAGGGGAATAAAAATGCCAAATCCACTCTAAATCTGTGAATGCTCTGTGACTAACCATAATACAGATACAGATTGCAGTCACAGATATTTATTTTAACTTTTATGCAGTTAAAATATTTACTCAAAATTTTCTTCAGATTTAGTAGAATATATTACCATTACTATTCCAGATTGCAAAATTATTTTTTTTTACTTTGTAGTGGCAGTCCACAAATTATACGAAGATTTTAAAGAGTGACTCTTATAAATTGTGTCTTCTATTCACTAAAAACTGAATTGTGGATGTCAGTCGTGTAAGAGCATGTCATGTATTTCCTACTTAAGGCTTATTTTATTTATTTAAATTAGGCTTAGCAGGCTTTTTGGTCAAACTATAAAGTACTTATATAAAATAATATAATTCAAATAAAGCTTAACATTTTGCATAATCTAGTAAGTGAATACCATATACTAATTTATAAGAAAAAACAGGGGGAAGAGGTGTAAGGACTTTGGATTCAATATAAACACGAGTAAAAAATATAGCCCTTTTCCATATTCACAGACAAAACAACTGACAATCATTGAAAACAAAGTTCCAGAAATAGTCAATGCCTTTCAGCACATCAATTAACAGAGAGAGCTGTCGCTCTCTTTTGTTTTTTCAGTACTAGTGTCTTTATGAAGCTGTTGACCCTTGTTTTCAGTCATGTTGCCTTCATCCATAACTTTAGGCATTTGTTCTTTGATTTTCTCTGGATTGAATAGTACCATGAATTCAGCTTGCTTTTCTGCATCAACAACCTTGTTTTTAAGCCCTGCATTCCTGGATGACCTAAAAGACAAATTTTAAAAAAAACCAAAGGGAATATTACATGATTTTTTAAATATAAACAACAATCAACCAGCTAGTTACGGTCTTAACAAGTGTTTGATATAATATCACAGTTTATGAATCTATCTTTCATACTGTACACCCACAGTAATTGCCTTCTCATACAATTTCCATCTAAGTTGACAAACTGAACAGAATGTTAACACCATCTCAAAACATTTATCAACACAGTATAAAAAATGATAGTTTACTGTGAGGAGGAAAAACTACAGCAAAGTTCAACCATTCAATAGCTATTGCTACTTCTTGTAAATAAAATCAGTGAATACAACCAGCCATCCTAGATCATTTTTT